GGATTTTTTTCCATGGCATAAAGAAAAAAATGAATGAGGTAAAATGGCAAACCCCACCCCTAAACGTCTCTTGAGCTCCTCCCACGCATGGGATCATATAGCTCCTACATACAGAAGTACGATCATGTTTGTATCCTTTGTAGGTGCACCAGTTCTCGAGAAATGCTGATATTTGAGGTAAAAACGGAAAAAATTATGAGACACCTCAATAAAAATATTTTTCATAAGCATTATGTGAAGCATTATGTTTTATATGATATATACCATGTATTATTAGTTTGTCTCATAATTTTTTGCCGTTTTTACTGCAACCACCGTCTTTTTGTATCCTTCGTTCATCTAATGTGGCTTGGTAATCATTCGACAGGGCAAAGCAAGCTCTACGTCTTCCAAAAGTCGGCTGAACTCGTATCCCAAGTGAAGTTTTAAGCTGAAATCTGATAGTAGTCGAAAAGAATTTTTCTTTCAAAAATCGTATCTCCAACCCAAAAAATCAAAAAAACCCCCATTTATCCTAACATATGCCTGACACATCGCATATTCAACAGTACATTTTTCGAATTTTTTCCATGGCTAGAAATAGAGAACGAAATGAATGAGGCAATAGCAAACTCCGCCCCTAGACGTCCTGAGCTCCTCCCACGCATGTGATCATATAGCTCATACATACAGAAGTACGATAACGTATTTGGATTTTTTGAAGGTGCCCCAGTTCTCGAGAAATGCTGACGTTTAGGGTAAAAACGGTAAAAAAATATGAGACAGTCTAATATATCAGAAGCTCCTTCCCAATTTTCTGAATATGTCGATGGAGCTTAGCTAATCTTTGTTTGCGTACCAGCTTGCAAATATTTCTTTTTGCTCTATTCTCCTGGAGTCGACAGGTAACGGCAAAATTTTTTTGAAAAACACCTGTAATGCTTGATAGGTTTTGAATTGACAAACTTCGAACGTGAACGTAACCTAAAGGGTGTGTCCGTGAGGGTCGGATTTACGACAAGATAAAAAAAGGAAAAAAATCCTCAGTTCCTAGCAACGAAATCTAGACTTTTTTTTAAAGTTCAGTAATTGTAAGGCTAAACTGCTTACGAGTCTATTGTTTACAACATAGTTTGTGCTATCCTACCATATTCAAGATTAAGTGCTGGTCTCTCAGAGTAGGGCTTTCAAGAGTGAGTGTCAGGCTATCTTTGAGCTGGAAAATTCTCTTTGTAGCCGCTCGGATAACCTTTAGGCCCAAGGCATACCTCCGCGATTCCGGTCGCTGCGCGATTTGCCACAACAGCGACTCTTTGTGATTCGTCGTCAATGCGCTGTCTTGGGTCAGAACTTGCTCCGTTTGCAACAACTTACACAAGCTACCCAAATATGCGTCCAAGAAGCGCACAGGATAAATTTCTGGAAATTTGACAGTTCGCCGAGTCGCGTGAAAGTGGCGATTAGGCCGAATCACGTGAGGTATGTGCCTTAGGCCTTATTTGAGTTTATACTGCCAAGGATTTGCTAGTTGTAGTACAGTTACCGTTAAATCGATGGTTTTCAAAAAAAATTGAATTTTTGTTAGTTTTGAATTAAAGTGGAACTTGGAAAATGGTTCATGCTTTGAAACAAACACTTCTTTGACTTCAATGCAAGCAACACAAAAATGTCGTGCAATGCTATTCTTACATTAGTCAAATTGGCGACAGAAAAAACCACAAGATCATAACACAATCGTGGCAGGTTTTTTCCGAACTTCTATATCAGTATTCTCACTTGCAGAGCTGTCGGAATTTGTCTGGCAGTCTAGTCACTTAGTAAATACCCGAAGCACGACTACATGGGAAAAAATTTACAAGTTTGGAACCGTTTTTGTTTCATAGATTTGTCGGGTATTTTATTATGAACTTTATCGACTTAGATAATTCATCAGAAGGGACAGAAACCTCCAATTTACCTATTTGTCGAGCATCCTTTATCCCTTTGATAATAATAAACTGCCAATTCATCAGAGACGTGGGCGACGCAACGTGGGAATTTTCAGCATACCATAGAGGCCATGGTGCCGTTTAGCTACCGAGTTATCTTTGCTTCCTTTAGCAAGATTTTTTTCTGTAAAACCTTGGTAAGGAGGTCGGTTCCACATCCTAAAACCGACTACAAAAATTATATCCCACATATGTGCTTTTATCCCACATATGTGCTTAAATTTGTCGAAGCTACTTTACAGACATACATTTCCCAGCTGAGTTAAAAAGACCTCACGCTTGGTCACCGCAGTGATGGAGCTCTCACGAAAGTCGTCCATAAAACCGTGACTTATAAGATTTTGTACTCGTCATAGTGTAGCCAGCAAGACTAGCTTTACTCAATTCCAGTACGGCTTCTCATTACGTGGAGTGAAAAATATATCTTATCGAAGCTGCCCTTGAATAGCCTAGCGAAGTTATCTATGAAAAGCGTGATTTCCTCCATGATCATACACGAACTGAACACCCAACAGAAGATGTTTCTGACCACAAGGAATGACAGCACAGTCGCTACCGTTCATAAGCGGATCCCAAAGCAACCATATTCTTATTATAAGTATTGGGTTCACTCACCAATAGCATAATATTCTGGTTACTATCGAGATTTGCAGCTAGCTACTGCTTCGCGATGGAATTTCGGCTATGTTTTCTACTCATCCATGGGACAACCAGGGCCAATTTTGATCGCATCCGAAAGTTTTCGAACGAATTGCGAACATGTATGCATCTTTTTAATTTTCGGAAGAGGTGACATTGTGAGATTCCTGATTCAATATCATTTTCTGATCACGAAAATAGTAGTAACGATCAGGGTTGAGCGTGGGGTCAGGCGCGCCCGACCTGGGGGGTCGTACTGGGGTAAGACAGAGGAGGGGGGGGTCGTGATTAGGAATCGAATTCGTTCGATTGAGGAGATACTACGATTAAGGTGAAGAAGAAAAGCGCTAGTTTAGTGGATATCGCGACCTCACCAGTACTGAAGGAATGAATGGTCTTAAACAGCATACTGATTGATTCCACAATCGAAGTTTCGGCCAAAACTCAAATCTTCATCTTCTACCTTGAAATATTATAAATTCATCAAGGAAGCTTGCTGTGTGAAATGGGTATCATTTCCGAGCACGTCAAATTACCTCTATGAGCCCTACAAACCATTATTTACTGCATTATCTAGTGTTTCTCAACGACTAAAAAGCGTGATTTTCAAACGTGATTAACTTGTTTTCAAAAGTGAGAAAAGTCAATTTTTTTGTACTCGTAACAAAGTATTGTTCCCTACTAGTCTAGGCTAAAAATCGCGCTTTGTATCGCTTGCAAATAGTGGAGTAAGAAATAATGCCAAAATTCCGACCGGCGCGTTTTTCGCCATGACTGCTTCAACTCCACGGATTACCACAAGGCCGAAACAAGTCGAATCAAGTCCAAACACTTACTGTGGAATCTTCGACGGTTGTGCTAGCGATTCACATAAAGCTTGAATAAAAAAGCTTCTTCAGTGATAAAGTTAATCGGGTCAGGCGCAACCCCACAAAAGGTCAGGCCGCCTGAGCTTTTGAGGGGTTGCGCCTGACCCGATTAACTTGTTTTCAAAATCTAAAAATCGCTCCATTTCTGCTATGAGTATTGAACTCAAAGCCTCTTCTTGCAATACTGCAAATTTGGAGCCAAACAATACACCCCTGTGGGAATTATAGCTCTAAAAGCAGGGCAATCCAAAACTTGCCGTCAAGTTGCGTGTGCTGTGCAATCGCAGAAAGCCGACCTACGGACGTCCAAAAAACAAGAACCTCCCAAAACGGCTGATCTCTTCGAATTATCACAGCCTGAGGTCCTGGAGGTGAAGCAGAGGGGTCGTTTAGGGGCTTTCACTGGGGGGGGGGGGTCGTTTTGGAAAGACTTGTGCCCGACCTCTTGCTCAACCCTGGTAATGATCTTATTCCGAAAGGTCTATTTAGATTCAACATTAACAGTTAGGCGTTACTTTGAGTACATTGGCAATTTTGCAATTTTACTGCTTCGAAGGGAACAATTTCGCACAGTTCTATAAATTTTCGGCTTAATACAGTATGCGATGCCGAGAAAATGCGGCAAAGTTTGCCGGCCGCTTGCGCCCCTAGAAGCCGGCATCCTGGCATGCTATTCCACGCGCAAATTTTGCCGCATTTTCTCGGCACCGCAACTACACAATATAAAACGAAAAACTCACCCAACTGTAATCCCCTTGATGTAACCGTAAAGGTGTAGTATCGGCTATGCAGAAAAAGTAAAGATTTTTCCTGCCAAGAGTACATGGACGCTGGTGAAGAAGCAACTTATTGTAACAACCTGGAGAGAGGATTTCACTGTTAAACTGTTTCCAGGCTGCAGGATTGGCAACCATCGAAATCTCATCGTCAAAAATCACAGTTTTCTACAAGTGTATTCCCACAGTAATCGTTGTCTGTTTTTGCTGACGACTGTATATTAGACCCTATATTTTGCCTGATATGTACACTGACGCCTCTGTGGTAGAGGCGTCAGTATCACGCAGTTAATTTCAAATCACGCACAAAAAGGATAAAGCTGCAAGCTACTTGATGAGACTCTTGCAGATCGCCCTCAACAAGTCCGTCCCGACATCAAGTAAATATGTATGTTGAAACACTGTGAAGCTTCTGGGAGGAAAACACTCTCCCCCTTCCCCTTGCATTGGATCTATTGCACCGTAGAAGACCCAAGCGTCTCATAGTGTCCTATTTTGTGAAGACAGAACGTCCGTGATTTAGCTCTCCACGATTTCTATGAACGATCGAAAATTACCGAAACAGAAAGTTGCCTGATAGGAGTAAGGTTCTCCCGAAAATAGCGCTTTCCACCAAGGACTAATGAATGGCTGTGAACTTGTGTATACATGTCAGACAATACGAACGGATTTGAACTTGTCGAATGTTAGTATCACGGCCTCAAGATTATTTAACAAACCCGAGTAATTCTCATTGTTCACCATCTTCATACTTCTTAGCGGCAGTAGTCCTATCGCCACACCATGTCAAGACCGGAGTTCTTTCAGAAGCTTAGGAAACCACTGAGGTGTGTCACTTTTTGCTACTGCTGCACAAATTCAGCGTCATGTGGTATTGTTATTCAAAAGAGAACTAGGACGAGTGTTGAAAGCAATATCATCTTAGGATGCTTGCGGATGGCGCTACTTCTATGCAATCGACAACTCTTCTGCGCTTGCACTGCTCTAATCCCTCCTTGCTACCATTAGGCACGCGCCATACTTGATCCACTCCCCTATTGGTCAGTTCACCGTATTGACCAATGATGAAGCGGATCAAGCGGATCAAATGCGCGTGTCTTATGTGCATAGCACGCAAATTGTTGTAGTAGTACCGCAGAGGCTTTGAACCACCGGAGTTCGACCAAGACCATTACGACTTTTTGAAAAGAGTGCCGATTGAAGAGACGGCAGTCGATAGTGAAAGAGTGGGGAGGGGGGAGGTGGGGAGGGGGGAGGTGCTCGCTTGAAAGACGTATTGCCAGTGACTTTCAGTTCGTAAGTAGATGTACCTGTCGGAAGTTCACTTCTCTAGCTTTTTGGCTGTGCTTAAAATAGAATGGGCTTGGTTATTAGCAGGTTTTGCAGAATTTTTGAATCCTATTTCCGGTTGGAGTTTCTGCACGTGAAACTTTTGCTTTAACAACCGACCAGCTCCCACGAAAGAATGAATGTACTGATGTTGCTAACAGAGGAGTGGTAGGACTGATAAGGAAGGCTCATTTAGCATTTCCATAACTTCCATGGCATCGAACTGCGTAAAGGGCCGGGCATACTTCACGCATTTTCAGTCGCGACGCGATTTTCCCAACAAGACAACTGTTACAAAACCAATCCATGCCGATCATCTTGCATGGTTGTGACAGTTTACTACACTGTTCGCGAATAACTATCACAACCGAAACTCAAGGTGATCGGTATGCAGTGGACTCGTAACATTTGTCTTGTCGGAGATTGGCGAGGGGATGAAATCGCGTATATTCCGGACCTCTAAGGAATTGTAACTGAAGCAGACCATCATGATTGTCCATTCCGAGCATACTCCTATCAAGCAATATTGGTGAAACTGCATCCTGAAGTTTGCTTTTCAGGCAAGAAGAAAAACTCAAAGATATTCCCCGAACAAACCTCGAACATTTTTGTACACTCGACATACGGAATCCCGCACATTCGGCTAGAAAAACTGGAATCATTTGTACTATAGGTAACTACATGGTAGATTATCAAAATTTCTTAGATAAGAAGAAAAAAAACAGGTCCATCTTGTCGTTCCGTCGATATGCTCAAACAAATGATTACCTGCGGCATGGACATCGCTCGTCTCAATTTCTCACATGGCAGCCACGAAGTAAATCCTTTAAGCATTTATTAATACTAAATAAATTCAAGCTTCAGTATGATCTACTTTCTTATTCAGTACCACAGTGGAACGATTGCTAACGTACGCAAGGCAGTAGAATCTTTTTCGGACAATAGACAAATAGGGATTGCTCTTGATACCAAAGGCCCAGAAATTCGAACTGGTTTACTGATTGGAGGAGCAACTGCTGAGGTAGAAAAGCAATGTTTCGAGTAGTTTGAAGAGAAGGGAATGTTAGGTCGAACTCGCAAAAGGCAAGACTGTCACTCTTTCAACCGATTCAAAATATAAAGAAGCGTGCACAGCAGAGACAGTTTACGTGGACTACAAAAATATTGTAAAGGTGACTAGTTGCTGAAACTTACAGATTTTCATTGTAATCAATCTCGTCCTTCCTGACGATATTTTATGACTGCCAACTTTAACTTCTTATCAATCTCGCTCAGCATTTCAGGTAGTGAACAAAGGTTCTCACGTTTACGTTGATGATGGGCTCATTTCACTCGTAGTCGAAGAAGTAAAAGATAATGCACTCAAATGCACAATAGAAAATGGTGGCATGTTAGGTCGGTGACGTTACTTTATCAGTGTACTCCCCGAGCAAATTGGAAAGTCCTCAAATTTTGTAAGACAAACTCATCAAAGGCATCGTCCACCCTAAGTTGAGGGTCTTGAGCTTTTGGCAGCACATGATTGTAGGGCCCCTATCAAACCAATGCTCAAGTCGCGGCGCAAACGTCGCTTCGGAAGCGAGAAATTTGCTCCGGAATAACGAAGATGCACGAGGACCATCAGATAGCACCGCCTTCGCCATCCATGCCCGCCCATCTGGGCGCGCCAATCCAATCACCGTTCCGGAAGGCCGGCCTGCGGGTTCTCCGGAACGAGGATTGTTGGGGTTTTCGCGGATTCTCGACTTCTATTTAAAATACATGAGAAGGCCCCGAAACGATCAAAACATGGAAGTCGAGAATTTGGGTGGACGATGCCTTTAAGCCATCGTGCAACAGAGACATAGTAGGCGAAAAATAGCCTCAAAAAATCGGAGGAGAACTTAAACGGCCGATAAGCGTCGTCTTTCGTACGATTGCAAACCATGCTAGGAATTTTTAGGAAAACTTCCTCCATGAGAACAATCTCATACTCCGCATCTGCAGTGCCAGAACAGTCTTTACCAAGACCTATCCTAGCATTAGCCGAAGAAGTCACTTCAGGGCGTATCACAGTGCAGGAAGCAAGGATCGGAGCTGTAAACTTTAGCAAATCTCGCATAGCATAGACATCAGCCGGGAGTGAAACCTGGTTCTGGTTCCTATCTTTTTGCTTTGGAACTGTCAGAAGCAGATGGACGGCACTGTGAGCGCGTTATGTGAGAACACTGGTCAACTTCTACATAAATTGCATGGCAACGAGGAGTTCGTCTTGTCTCCTAAGAAAGACCAGCTGACGATTGCACGATTCTTCAAAATCATCTGTTCCACTCGATCGTTTTTCCATTTTATTGAAGAGAGGCTCGAGTCGACAATGCAGTTACTCAGCATCTCTTTGGACAACCCACAAGGTGTTCAAAGCGTGTTTCTCCTGTATTCTACTCAAAACACGACAGATAAGGCTAGCATCTTTATTCCTAAGCAGGTGTTCCTCCTTCTTCCAATGTCGAGATCCAATGGTTAAGGAAACTTCTTGATATGGGCTTGTTTTCAGCAGAGCGATAACATCAGTGTGATGCGTTCGAAAGCGTTGGACACAACGGCAGGAAGAATGTCTCAACCACTAGTCAACTTCCAGAGTTGCTCATATGCCGTAGCTATATCAGCACGGCACCGGAAGCCACATGCCTGCATCGAACGATCGACGCTCTGGTATGGGGTTAGCACGAAGCTGGCATGGCGCTGGCACGGGCAACTCTAAACGCAGTCTCAGGGCAAAAGACAGTCACGTGATGGGCAGTTTCAAAGATTTTTTCGCTCAACTCAACGGCGTTCGGAGCGGTAAAATGCAGACAAATTGTTGGGAATTCCGAGTATCGATTATAAAAATTCTAGAAAATTCCGAGCCTCACTTTCATACAATCAACGCGTGTATTTGAGGTAGTCGCAAAGGCGTCAACCTCCCAGGAGCTATTGTTGATCTTCCCGCTGTGTCAGAAAAGGATATTCAGGTCCGTCACCAAGAAGTAGAAATGAGCAGAGAAATTTAATGTCATTATCCTAGGATCTCAAATTTGGCATTGAGCAAGGTGTAGATATGATTTTCGCTTCCTTCATCAGGAATGCTGATGGTATACGGGCGATGCGAAAGGTCTGTTATTCCGTCTTATCCGCACCCATCTTCGAAGTTCAGGTGCTTGGCGAAAAGGGCAAAAATATCAAAATTATTGCTAAATTGGAAAACCAAGAAGGTATGGAGAAGTCGGACGAAATCATTGCTGAAGCTGACGGTATTATGGTAGCGAGAGGTGATCTTGGTATTGAAATTCCCACCGAAAAGGTCTTCGTGGCTCAAAAGGTATAAATTCAAAAGAGGTTCACAGAAATGTAGATAAAGTGGACACCTTTCCTAGATGTTGATAGCGAAGTGTAATCGAGCAGGTAAGCCGATCGTTTGTGCCACTCAAATGCTCGAATCTATGACAAAGAAGCCTCGGCCTACACGAGCTGAAGCAAGCGATGTAGCAAATGCTGTAAGATTTCAAGATATATGTTAAGAATAGTTTATTTCATAGAAGCGTTTTCTTCTTTGAAGGTTCTTGACGGTGCTGATTGTGTCATGTTATCTGGAGAAACTGCAAAGGGCGATTATCCGTTAGAAGCAGTGAAAACCATGGCTTTCATTTGCAAGGTACATCACTAACCACTTATAGGCGAGTCATCTTACGCAGAGACTGGATGCAAGTGCGTTCGATTGAGAAAATACACTTTTGAGAGAGACAGGAGACGGTGAGAGAAATGCGCAATGGCACCATGCTTCTGCAGCTGTCCACTCGCCTGTATATCAATAAACGTATGCTAATAAATCAGATTCAGGATGCAGAAGCAGTTTTCCCTTATCGTGAACGTTTTCACGAAACTGTTATCAACACACTTCGTCCAACTGACATGACAATGACAATCGCCATTGCTGCGGCCATTGCTGCAGATAACTGTCATGCAGCCGCCATCATACTTATAACTTCATCTGGACGGTATGCCGTGATAAAAGATATTTTCGTACTCATAGATTTGGTATAGCACTGCAGCCGCTTGCTCGAAGTATAGAAGCGCCATTCCAATTATAGCAGTGTGCTCACATCCCGAAGTTTGTCGTCAGCTGAATCTTTGCAGGTATGTTGTATGGAAGACATTTCGATATGCCTAAAAGCGATATACAGTCATATCCTATCGTATAGAACCAATTAATTGCCCGCGAGTCCTTGGATTGGGAGGAAGGATAATAAAAGGCTCCATTAGTCTTCGCATTGTACATTGTCCTAGACTATCTATTGTTCACTTCAACCCATTATGTACTCTATCATAACTTCAAAATCAGCACACAAATGAAAGGTTATCATTCGAAAGCTTATGAAGGACTTTCGGATGTTACCTGAAAAGTTGACAATGCACGAGCCTCACTCTAAGAAAAAAGCTGATAACTGGCATATCTTTTTGTGCAAACGCTAAGGCGAAAATAAAAACTAATCGCATAAAAAACGGAGTTTGGTCACTCATTCTGAGATAGTTGGAAAGAGCTCTTCGAGAGGCACGCAAAGATCATCTCTGCATTTTTCTTCCTCCTATGACAAAATTCTGAAGTAAAGAAACCAAGCTTTCAGATTCATCAGCAATACAAAATTTGGGAAGTATAACAAATTTGTGCGAAAGCGTTTCTATAAAGCAGTCTTCTCACTTGTACCTCAAAAAACTTACTCCAATTCAATGCTCTATATATTACAAGACCAAGGAAACCACTAAATTTGAAACTCAGCATCATATAGCCTTTTTAAGAGCTGTCTTTCCTGTTCATTATAACAAACCATGTGGCGATTTTGCTGCTGAAACAGACAACAAAGTGAATGTCGTAGATTATCCAAATAATCTACAACCTTTAGCATTGTAGATCTACCGTGTATGTTGTATTTAGCATATCTGTTAGCTTGTCGTTGACAAACCTTATTGTTCACTGACCACTTAAGCCGCCAGGTCACCACTCCGCTGTGCTTGATAGTCTACTTGGCGGCGCCTACTTTTATGTAGGCAATCCTTCATGCTGTATGATACTATTGTTTACCAGAAGTGAGCATTCAGGTTATCCACGCCCAAAGTAGTGGCATAAAAGGGCCTGAATACTCAGTTCTGGTGTTGGTTCGATTATTACCACTATCGTCAGCGGCTGTTCCGCATATTCACTGTTGATAGTCAGCGGCTGCTCCGCTACTATCGAATAAACAGTTATACAACGTAGTGGTACCAGCTTGGTGTATACCAAATTGGTGCATTCGGCCTACGGTTCACTTTCTGGCGTTTGCTACCCAGAAAGCTGGTAAAGTCCCGCGTGGCAGACCACTAATTAATTGAACCCTTCTGAGCTCTCTCTTCGTGAGACGACCAGAAGGTAGTAAAAGCGTTAGTTGGCAGGCTTCTTCACTGATCAATTGAACCCTTCTGAGCTCTCTCTTCGTGAGACGACCAGAAGGTAGTAAAAGCGTCAACCGAAGAAATTTCACTGGTCAATTGAACCTTTCTGAGCTCTCTCTTCGTGAGACGACCAGAAAGTAGTAAAAGCCCCAGCTGAACACTTCTCCACTAATTAATTGAACCCTTCTGAGCTCTCTCTTCGTGAGACGACCAGAAGGTAGTAAAAGCGTTAGTTGGCAGGCTTCTTCACTGATCAATTGAACCCTTCTGAGCTCTCTCTTCGTGAGACGACCAGAAGGTAGTAAAAGCGTCAACCGAAGAAATTTCACTGGTCAATTGAACCTTTCTGAGCTCTCTCTTCGTGAGACGACCAGAAAGTAGTAAAAGCCCCAGCTGAACACTTCTCCACTAATTAATTGAACCCTTCTGAGCTCTCTCTTCGTGAGACGACCAGAAGGTAGTAAAAACGTTAGTTGGCAGAAAATCACTGATTAATTGAACCCTTCTGAGCTCTCTCTTCGTGAGACGACCAGAAAGTAGTAAAAGCGTCAGCTGAGGAAACCACTGGTTAATTGAACCTTTCTGAGCTCTCTTTTCGTAAGACGACCAGAAAGTAGTAAAAGCTCCAGCTGAAGACCTTACCACTGAAATTGAACTCTTCTGTGATCTCTTCTAGTAAGACGACCAGAGGTTAGTAAAGAAAAAACAGTTGGTACACCTTTAATAGTTCACTTAAAAACTATTAAATTACAAGGTCTCCTCAAAATCTCACTGGGCAGGATCCAAACCTAACCAGTCAGCACAGAGTTCAAACCCAAGTCCATGCGCACAAGGCAGACGATGGCTGAGCTAAATCTATACAAAGCTCGCATTTCATTGGCCTGCTCATCAATCAGCGGTCTTGAGGACAAGGTCCGCAATATTGATAAGGCTTTCGAATTTCCCAACACTGCAACCGAATGCAACGCCTTCATAGCGGACAAAATAGCAGAGATCGATGAACTGCAAATTACCCTAACAGGTTTACTGGAGAACCTGGAGGCGCAAGTGCAAACTGCCATGAATTTTCTTGGCGCAAAAAAGGACCAGTCAGACAAAGACAGATTGATGAACGATTTGGCTGCCTTCCTAAGCACAGAAGCAAACGGTCTACAGCTTGAAGGTATCAACTGGACCAACAGGTTGAAATATCGAACGAGGGAATTAGAAAAACAGTCAAATGTAATCCACTCATTAGCATCGTCTTCGATACGATCACCAGTACCGGATACGGACACGGATAGTTGTCTATCCACAAGACAAAACAATGAGCACAGGGTCCGATTACCAGTGCTGGAAGTTCCAACGTTTAGTGGAAGCTACAAAGACTACCCGACGTTTTGGACGATCTTCAATTCGCTTATACACAGCAACGCACAGCTTACCGACACTGATAAATTCCTATTTTTGAGGCAAGCACTAAAAGGATCTGCTGCTTCTATGCTTGGCAATATTCCTGTGGTAGGGAAAAATTACGACAAAGCTGTGAAACTCCTCGACAAGAGATACAACAAGTCCGGATGCATAGCTGATCTTCTCATCACAGAGCTCGAAAAACTTCCGCGAGCAAAGGAAGACGCGAGTAGCTGCCGAAAAATGTTAACCGATGTGACTGAAAAGCTCACTCACATTGAGTGTGCGGGAGTCACCTTGGACAACGGGCGAATGTGGAGACGATTGATACTCTCAAAATTCCCAACATCACTGAGCGAAAAGGTGTTCAGCAAAGAGCAAAACGAAGACAAACCGTTATCTACCGAGGAAATACTAGAGATCCTGGAAAGTGCGGTAGCTCTTAAGGAAACAATCGCCCTTTCAATGGACACATTCCAAGCATTCGAGGACTGCAAAATTATGGCACGCTCTAATTTCGATCAAGAAGTTGATGAAAGGCTGAACTATGAAGAAGACTCAATCGCATACAATTCGAACTACGGTCAAGGAAACAGATCTTCGAGATATTCGATTGCTCAATGCATATGCGGAAGTTACCAACATGATGCGACGAGATGCACAACATTCCAAACAGCAGCAGAGCGACGTGATGAAGCCAGGAAACAAAGGCTGTGCTTCAGATGTCTTCAAACCGATCACAGGATTAGTGATTGCACAAGCTCACAGTTCTGCTACAAGTGCCACGAAAACCACCACACTGCCGTATGCATGGGTAGCTATTCGGCATCTAGAGGCACCCCAACCAGGCGATCGCAGCAACGATCTGCTCGCGATCAAGATCTCCCGAGAAACCCTGAATTTGCGCAAAATTCTGAAATTCTCCACAACAAGAGCACGAAGCGAGAGGGAGGAATGCAGCACGTACTGATGACGGCGACTGCACTCGCATACGACTACACATCGACCAGTTATAAGCCCGTAACTGTTTTCTTTGATGGAGGTGCACAAAAGAGCTTCATCAATGCAAAGAAGACCCAAGCTCTTGGATTACCAGTGCTGCAAAACACCACTTTCAAGATTGGCGGCTTCGGAGGATCTACCGCACATTTCACATCCAGTGAAGTCCCGCTTACACTGAGAACAACGTCTGCTGGAGTCGCTATCAAAGCTGTGAAGATACACACAAAGTCAACACTCACTTCCGCGATGAGTACAGCTTGGCTAAGCGCAGAGGATAGAAGGTTGATTCGAAAAAGAAAGATTCGAGTAGCACAACCGGATCTGAAGACGCGACGGTTCACACCGGACATTCTCATTGGTCAAGATCTGATCGATCAATTCATCTTGAGGGATCGACCATGTACAATTCTTCCGTCAGGACTTATTCTCACCCCTACTGTTTTCGGTCATGCAATCTCCGGAAGCAGTCCGATATATGGAATCAAGATGGAGGAGCATTCGCAGAACACCGCAATCACCATGGTCTCCTACAATCACCCAGTGAGTAAAGGAAACTCAATGAAGCAGAAGCCAGTTAGAAGCGTCGAACAAGCTGAGCGCAAAACTTCCAAACGCCGAACAAAGAAGCTCAGTCGTCCGTATCCGATGAATATGTTCGCACAACCTGAGAAGTCATCTACAAAACACGAAAGCTGCCAACGTAACAGCGCATCTCGTGGACAACAATTCGATCGCAAACGCCGAAAACCAAGGGCTCAAGGACAATTCGTGAAGATGATTACTGATGCTCAACCGAGATGTCTCGCTTCAGCGTCGCGCCTGGCCCCGAAGGCCGACCACGACATGATGGCCGACCACCTTACGAATCCCAGACGAAGACAACGAACCCGTTACAGAAATCATGTGATATACGTGACTTAGCTAATGTTATGATGAACTTTTGTAACCTACGTGTAACTTTTGTGATGTATATTTTCTTGCTTACGCGCCTTCCGTCGCGCGCCCCACTGTCGTAGATTATCCAAATAATCTACAACCTTTAGCATTGTAGATCTACCGTGTATGTTGTATTTAGCATATCTGTTAGCTTGTCGTTGACAAACCTTATTGTTCACTGACCACTTAAGCCGCCAGGTCACCACTCCGCTGTGCTTGATAGTCTACTTGGCGGCGCCTACTTTTATGTAGGCAATCCTTCATGCTGTATGATACTATTGTTTACCAGAAGTGAGCATTCAGGTTATCCACGCCCAAAGTAGTGGCATAAAAGGGCCTGAATACTCAGTTCTGGTGTTGGTTCGATTATTACCACTATCGTCAGCGGCTGTTCCGCATATTCACTGTTGATAGTCAGCGGCTGCTCCGCTACTATCGAATAAACAGTTATACAACGTAGTGGTACCAGCTTGGTGTATACCAAAGTGAATACCGGTATTGAATTTGGCAAAGAACGCGGATTCATCAATCGTGGAGATTTTGTTATCGTAGTACAAGGATGGAAAGACGGTAAATCTCAGTATCATTACTTCAAACTCATAAATTCAAACCGAACCTTCCAGGGAGCGGATTCACTAACACAATGCGAGTAATCACAATTCCTTAGAGTCAGCAAATCAGTGTCACTCTCTTCTAAGTGTACATTTGGAGTGTTTGCAATGCTAGTTCAATAAAAGTCTAGCAAAACAGATTATCATACTTGTGTATTTCATGCTAATTGCAGCGCCATCAGCTTATTCAAAATGCAAAGTTTCGGTTTTCTATGATGAATGAGGCGCGTACTGCCGGATTAGTTCGCGCTGTGCGATCGCTCCAAAGCGGGAGGACAGTGAAGTTGTACTCACGATTTTCACAAGTGTTCTATAACCATCCCAATACAATCCGTGCGAGATTTGTCGAGCGCACCGCATAACTTGCTCAAAGTGGACGAATTTGTCTCCAAAGGCGCCGCTCAACTCAACTCTCTTAGGGCAAAAACCTATGCTATAGATTTTTCGCTTGATTTTCACTGAGAACAACGATAAGGCTTGCGCTTATCACAGTTCTGTAGAGATCGCTTTCCTCTATTCAATGGTGTGCAGCATGCCTCAA